TATATATATATAAAACGCATAAAGTATTAATCAACAATGTGCAACAAGAGGTTTATTTTAATTATATCCCTTGATATTCTTTTTTTGTTACATTAAAAATTTTGTATATATATGTTATATAGTACATGAGTAAGAACAAACCTTCCTTCCTATATTCTTCTATTCTAGAGAAGTCGATCATTTTGTGTATTCTGGTTAAAATTCGCGAATGTGATACACAAAAATCAGAAATATATATATTTCAGTCTATTTTATTGGTACTTACCGAAGTTCTTTGCGGCAGATCGAAAGCGATTTGAACCTCTACCACGGTGAACACTTTCGATACCTCGCTTTTCGACGCATCTGACGGCAAAACTCAACAAGATATTCGCTTTCCGTAGCTGTTAAACGAGACCTTAGGGTTACACGAACGCACGAGAAACTTACTTTCGGCACTCCCGATGGTAATACGCGCGCGAATTCATCATCGACGAGCCGGAATCACGAGATGTGAACAAACCGTTTACTCGCGCCTGAAGTACGGCATTGTCGACGCGACAATTGCGATTCTCGAAGTATTGAACGCGCCAACTTCACTCGGCACTTTCACTGTAACCGCCTCGTGAGATGTTCACCACACCTTTTAACGAAACTAATGTTAACGACATCATGTTACAACACATACGCGAGACTCATTCTCGGCACTCCCGACGATAATTCGCGCGCGAGACGCTCTTTCGGCAAATCGAGAATCTGAAAAACATTTCGAGTTGTAATGCAACGAATAGCCATCAATAGTGCTAGTTCTCTCGTTATACTTTAAATCTGATTGGTGATAAACCTAATGGACTTAACCAATCGCATTGATCAGTTATTCAACTAATTGGCCAATGCGATTGGTCAATTCCGTTGAGTTAATCGTCGATTAGATTTAAACCATGATGGTAAAAACGGACATAAATCTATTCTGTAACTTTCAATGATAATGTCATCGCGCAGATAAAATATATGGTAGAAAAGCTACGTAAAGGAACGGTACGATGACAGCATTATCGTTAAAAATTACAAAGATTTCATTCGAGAAGCACGCTATCAGCTTGATTGCATCATTCTATTTTTATCGCTCATTACACATAAAATAGGGATAAAATAACGCAATAATGTCGAGATAACACGCTCCTCGAATGCAGCCAAAATAGGCCTGCAGGGCCCTTAGTTTCGAAAATGTGTGAAAAATATCGCATATCATAGCTAAGGTCCATTTCACATTGCAAACGTTAAAGAAAGAACGTGATTGGTCTGTACGGTGTTTCAACACGCTTGCAGCGTAAAACGGACCTTAGCCATCGGCGACATTTTTCATGTATTTCGAGAATCAGTGTACAATAATCTTAACCGTTTTTTCCGTGAAATATAGGCTATCGGCGGCTACTTAACTAGTTATAACAAACGCACGAAACTTACTTTTACAACTCTCGACGACGATCGTATCAATACGCCGGGCTCTCACTCTCGACGCGAGTCGGAATTGCGAGAAATACCGCACAGTTTTACTTAAGTCCGACCCGACGCGCCATAATTCGTTTCATAACTTGAATTGATCTGTTCTTCGTAACTGCACAAAGTGGCATCTGAGCTGCACTCAAAGTGCAGCTTGGAAATTTGACGCTCTGCAGAAGAGAAAAGGAAATATTTTTTCTTTTCCCAATGTTTAGCCACAAATTTTTTAAATCTAGTTTCATGTACCATTTGATGTTGAAAGAGTAAAATATGCTTGTGAAAGAAGGAAACGGAAAAATTATGAAGATGGTGCAGCTATGAAAAACAGATCTGGTGGCGTAGCGGTCGAAGTAATGCAGTACGCATGCTCGTGAGAACACTCACGATAGCGATTCTTTTACTTATTACTGCAAACCACGTAATTCGAAGTGTGATAAATATTATTGAGTTCTAGTGTGCGAAATATTAATTATACAAACGCTGAGCGCTTTTGGCTTTTCTGTGAGATAGCAATTCCCGGCGGTCGTTCAGCGATTATTCGCCACGGCAGCTTATTTTCGGCGTTTCCGGTGATAGTAATCCGTGCGCGAAATCCATCTTCGACGAGCCGGGATTTTCATATTTAAGCCGCGGCCCGGTTGCAATGCCAGTTTCCAAGGTATATCCAAGATTGACGCGCAACTTTGTTATTTTTACACCGCGACCGGAAAGTCCACCACGTGACTGAGAGTCGACACGGCATTGGCTAATGTGACGAATAAAGATTGAAAAATGCATTCAATTTTGGCTCGCTTTGCAACGATTGGTCGAGTCTCGTTCGTCGACGATAGTCCAGCACCGGTTTATCAACAATAATAGTATTCCGTCGGCGATGCGGCCAAAACGAAGGCTCGGCCCGCGACGAGAGATCGAATTTCGCGGTCGAATGGCGTTGCGACGCCGGAAGTTCGGCGCAGAACGCAGCGTAGTGGCGTGACATCTCCCGTACGATTCGCTCGTCGTCCGCCTGTTCGTCGTCGGTCGAAGCGCGATTTGTACAAGCAAGTGGACACGTAAAATGGCGAATTACAGTTGTTATTTACTCACGCAAGTTGCAAGGAAGTAAAGGCAAAAAACGGACAGATCGCGATACACGGCCGTCACTTGCACGAATGTTAGTGCGTGTTCACGCCACAGACGCAGGCGATCGTAAGTATCGTTGTCGTTGATTCGTTCGAATTAAAACTACGCTCTGCCGACGCGTGCTGATGATCGTGTCGCCCGTCGTCCGTCCCGGATTCGTCCCGAAAATTTGCCGTGCGTTCTCTCCGCCGCAAATGATCGAACTCGTCGTGTCTCGCCCAGCCGGGAAGTAAAGTCTCAATACCGGCGGCCCTCCATCGCCGGGAATAATCCCATAATCCGTGAGACGAGGTTAGGAGTGTCCGAGAAGGGATCCTCCACCGGAGCTGATCCCATCGTGCGTTCATGAGGGTATATTACCCGAGTCTTATTTTCCGTGATTAACTCATCTCATCTCATGTGCTCAATCGAGGAATGTGATAGGTCTTCGTGGCGATCGTCGCATCGGAAAGACAAATAGACTGTCCTGCCAAGATTATCTTTGTTCCCCGATTTTTAGGTTATGAACTGTGCCAGCTTCTAGCGGTCCTGACGTTCGCTGTATCTTGTGAGAATATTCTTCGTCAGTCAGATCAAATCTGATCACGGGGCGAACGAACGTACCGTTTTTCTCTTATGAGTTGTGTTCCGGGATAGGATCGAATTCTATATTAGGTTCCGCGAAAATTCAGTGTCGCGTTAGTATTCGTTGCTAAGACATTTCACTGATAAGTCTCTGCAAAGTTAATTAATTTGTCCGTGATCAGCCGTTAAAATGGATGGAAACGTTGTAGATGTGTTTCTAAATACGATTAATACACCAATGGTAGAATACTATGGTATTCTGGTCTTAAATGTTTACATTTTTATATACAAGTATCTTAAATGTAAACAATTCATATATGTGTACATATGTGTGTGTGTGTAAGAAAGAGAGAGAGAGGAAGAAAGAGATATATCACATTAATGATGCAAAAAAATATTAACTTATTTAATCATATCATTATTTATTTAACATTAACATTTATTACCTTATTGATTTTTTTATACAAAAATAATTAGAAGATATAATAATGTCCAATTCAATGATTATTTGTTAGATGTAAACTCTTTTCGTTCAAAGCAAGAATCAGTGATCTATGTATGTGTGTAGAAACATATGATATATGTTATGACATATGATTATGTTGATATATTAATGTATATATGTAGTTATATATACACATGTTTTATTAAAAACTTTTGTTTTTACTATAGTGAAATGATTCTGCTGGTTGATAACTTACAAGATACAAAGTTCCTTAGAAACTACATTTATTCATGTTGCACGAGATACGTATTTCTAAAATTTATTAGAACGTAACTCGTGATATAATTTCTCCTGTTATTTATATATGTCTGATATGATACTGTTTTATCGTGTACACACATATAAGACAAGTAAATATGCCAAATTATATTTTATAATATGATTATCATATTTTTATAAAAATACATAAGTGATATGCAGGCTGCATATAAGTATATTAAAAAAAAAAAGTGTCTTTAATACTCTGTTACAATAATACTCAGATTTTTTATACATACATACGATTATAATTTTGAATGTTTACACATTTCCCTCTCTATCTTCATTGTAGTTATTACACACTGTTACAAGTAAAATTTTTATTTGACAACCAAATCAATACATAACTCACCTATCATACATACATGTTCATCTCTGTGACAAATTCTTTTTTAATAAGGATATAGAGTCTTTGAAGCACATGTTGTACAAAACTTTGATTTTCTTAAAATGGAAAATAGTTATATTTGTGAACTTTGGAGATATATATATATATATATATTTCTACAGCAATACAAGATTATAATTAGTAGAATATAATTTGTTTTTAAAATCTAGTAGAGGAAATAATTTCTATAGGAGACTACTTTAAAAGTTGAGTAATTTGCATTAAAATACCACCGAGTTTTGGCTACGCAACCTTCATATGTATATAAATAAATTTCCATATGGACAAATTGCATGATATTTATAATATTTACAGTTTACAACTATTGAACAATTTACACATTAACCATTAAATCTACATACATTTCAGCTTTCGATTTTCTTTTAATTTCCTCAAGAATTTTATTATATAATATTCATTTATCTTTTAAAATATTAACAATTATAAGTAAAACTATTCTAAGCAAAAGTCCTGTATAATTTATTATTATTTTTAATAGGTTGTGTCGTGCAAATACTAGTGCATCCTTCTACAGACATGGTATTGATGGATTGGTCTAACTCACTGTATTAGGGGCAATCTTGATCATCATTGATTAAGAAAAGATCACCTTTGTAAACGATTAAGTCTTGAATAATATGGCACAATATTATAATCTTGTGACCAACTCCAGTGGTACATTCTGCACTATAGATGGGCAACGGGTTCAGTTAATTGTTGAAGAAGTTAATAACGGTGGTAATGGTTCACAACAGATTGTGACTTATACAGCTGCATCTCAAAACAGCGAGCACACAATATTTTCGCCGCAAACTATTAATTTGGGAAATCAAATGTCTGCAACACGATTGGAACAAGGGTAATTCATTTGGCATGCAATTACTCAAACGTATCTGAATAGTAATATAACAGTTTTTCTAAGCTTTCCTTAATATACATGAAATCCAGAATCTAATTAAAAAATTTAATTAAAGAGTTTAATCGAGCTTATAAAACTTCGAATATATTGTTTGTTTAGAGGGAGAATAAATGGGACGTTGGTACATGGTGCTGGTTGTGAGAAAATACACTGAAAATGATTCCAAAATAATAAGTGCCTTGATGCAAATATTTCAGTTTCGTAATGTAACATTTTAATCTTCATGTACAATAGGCTATGCATTCTGATTGGAAGTTGTCTTGATTTTTTAATATAGCAGAAACATCAGCTTCAATGAATATTTAATAGACATGCAAATTTAACAATATAATATACTTGGAATGTATTAATATGTCCAATTTTAACAATATATTAGTACAATATGGAAAAGAGATACTAACATATCAGGTGCTTCTTAAAGTAGTCTTCTATTATGCTATCTTTTTTTACATGTACATATAAACATACCTAAATGTTTTAATTAAATTTTATATAACACAGAAAATGTGGGGAAAATAAGACGTTATTATAGATAGCTCTTTATTTTGTAAATATAAAATAAATTTATAAATATAAAATAGTTTTAAAAAATATACATATATACTTCAAAGATATGTATAATTATTTCAGAGTATTAGATGTGACAATATTGCTATCTTTACGACAATAGAACATATTGTAAATTATATGTAAGTGGTGTGAAAAAATTAAAGATTTATTTAAATGTTTTGGAACAAATTTCATTTATAATCGCTTGTACGCGTGTGCCTCAAAGAAAGTTTTGATTGTTAAAGAAGATTGTTAAACTAATCTCATCATAATCTATCATATTAATATGTCAATTATCAGGTAAAGAACTTAGATAATAATTTTGGAACATATAGAGCAGACATGAAATTTAATAAAAATTAATCTATGTAGGTTACTTGTAAATGAACTATAAGATATTTTTTAATGATATTAGAACAATGTATTGCACATAATATAGGTGCAAATTTTATTTAACATGTATGGTCTAGGAGCAAATTTTTGTATTAAATATCGTATCAAGAGAAAGAAAGTCTTGTATTTTTGTAACATATACATTTCAAGTATTATTTTTTATTATATGCATTGTATGTGCATGTTTAGTTATCAACTTGTTAATATTGTGTATTAAGAAAAGTATTGTTCATTAAGAAAATTTTACATATCTGAAAAAGTAAAATTAATAGCATTAAGTAAGATAAGGATTATCTAAATTAGAGAGAATACGTCCAAGACAGCATTCAATTTCTTCTTAAAAATATCAACACGATGCACAGCTTGTTTTATTATTTCTCTAAGACTTGTATTGAAAATTATCGCTTGTTCATAAAAGATTATATCTCGCACCCAGATAGTAAAATGAAATTTGTAAAATATACCAATGCACCGTCTTCCTCATTATATCTTCATCTAACATTTATTAAACACTTATTATGAGCATTACACAGAATAAAGGGATTTCTTTATATTATATTATCACATTCATTTAATCTTGACAAAAATTATATTTTAGAAAAGTGACTTTCATAAATTTTCATTTATTATGTGTAAGAAGACATAATATAAGGATAAGACGTTCCATAAATTTGAATAAAGCAACAAATTTTTTTATTGATTAATGAAGCGTATTTGAGCAAAACTAATATTTAAGTTCATAATGCAACAAAGATAAAGAAGACACATGTTTATTGATATCATACATATCCTATTCATAATAAGATATACTAGTAAAATAACACTATAGCCAGTATTCATAGTCAGATCTTATATTTAAGATCGTCTTAAATTTATCTTCAGATGCTTCGTAGCTAATGAAGTGAGCCATACAGTATCTGAAAATGAGCTTAAAACCGTCTTAAATACAAAATCAGACAATGAATATCGGCTTTAGATTATGTTTATTGTAGTTGTTTCTTATTTTTCAGACAAAACGTTTATATAATCAAAACGAACAGCATAACTGGAACCCAGGAAATATTGAAATCTAATACCGTGAATCCACGTATAATTAGTGAAAATATTCCGAGCGTTGTCGACAATACAGGTGAATATTAACGAATGTATTTAATGCACTATATTTGCGTGTTTTATAAAATATTGTCTACGATTAAATTTTGTTAAGTTTAAAAGTTACACAAATAGCATTAGTAGTCGATATCCTTCTTTCCTATGTTTAGGATTCTGTTCTATATCCTGTGTCAATTAGCTCTTTTTTTCAGGCACTAAAGCAGAAAGTAAAACTGAAGGACAAGAAATACAACGGAGAAAAATGCAAGATGCTAGTACTACTATTACGTCAACAAAACAAAATAACTTACAAGAAAAGAATCAGACTGCCATTGTAACTAAAAGTACAGTGCAAAACAACATCGCATCAATAGTGAGTGCATATTAAATTCAAGCTACGTATTTTGGCAAAAAATTAAATTGATATATTTTACATATGTATAAACACACAAACGTATGCTTTTAGTCGCCCGTATGTATAAATTCTGGTTCATTTAAATCTGGATTAGTTGATAACAGTAAAGTATTGAGAGTCCTACAGAATAAAAGCCGACAATTGACAAATAGTGGTCAAACGGCCGTAGTATCTCAGACTTCAGATGGAGTAAATGTGAAGTCGACTACCATGGAAAATCGACTTCAAAATTCGAACGTTGTGAGTTCCAAATCCGTGTCATCCGTCTGTGGCAAAGTGGTCAATCAAATGGGACAGAGTATACCTATTAGATCGATTCGTGCTTCTAATCCGAATACATCACATGTACGGCCTGTAGCCATGGTTATACCTGAGATGTCTAAGACACCATTGAGGGCACCGCAGAGTCCGGAACTGTTACATTTGAGTGAACAGATCAAGCAGACCAAAATGAAGCATATGCTTCAAAAGCAAAAGCAGTTGCAGAGCGAGCAGCAGAAATTGCAGCAAAATAACGTACAACGACAGCTCCCTAATACTTTGCAGCATCCTATTCAAATCTCGCTGAAAAATCCCGCGCGTGGCTCAATAACCCCAAATATTGCTGCTCAGCCAAAAGCGCAGCAAGTCTTACCCAATTCGCAAGGGCAGCAACAGATGCAAAAGCCATCCATGGCAACGTCTGTTTCTCCGACTGTACATAATACGCACAGTGCTACTCCTATGGATATTGATACCTCAGAATGTATACAGGATAAAGGACACCAAATGGCAGAGCCCTCTTCACCGAATAACGATAATAGCCGAGCGACCGAGAGTATCGCTTATCTCCAAAAAACTATCAAGGATCCAGCGAATACTATAGTTCAGCATCAAATTAAGGGCAATATTGCGAAAATGTTAGTGATAGCTACTGGAGAGCAAAGATTGATCACGTTCGACATACCGAATGAAGACTGTACCGTGCACGATTTATTGGATCAGGTATATAATAGAGAACAGGTAGATTCTATATTTTATTGAAGATTTGCAAGATGGCTACAATATGATTGTCCAAGTTGTTGCGCAATAAGAAAACATAGGGGGATTAAATATTTTTGAAAATAGAATATTTTACAACATTAACATATATATAATCATTTTACATATTGTATTAAATATTTTTAGGTGAAAATTACATTTTCTGACGAGACATCTGTCTCTTTAGTGCTTGATCCAGCATTGGATATAAACTATATTGTTGACGCTGGTTATGGGTCATGTGATCCCGCACCTCATGATGTCAGTGATTGTAGTTCTACTCCAGAGGTTGTAAGCTCTACTACAGATAATGAAAATGCATCTCAAAACACCAAGTAAGATATCTTACTGTCTATATCTGAATTTGTATCATTATGTCTTTATCATTTAACAGTCCTACGTCTATTGATAATGGCGCTATATCTGAAAAGATTGTTCTATTATTATAATAATTATTATAATGACTATAATTCTATTATATGCTATATTATGTCATTTCTTTGATAAAGGATATTAAAGTGACAATTAATGATGTTTTAGTGCCTCGGACGAGAACAGTAATCCCTCGATAGCACCTAATGAGGTAAGCTTTCTGAGTATATTATAAAAAATGTTAAGATAGAGAAAGGATATTGGCATAAATATTATATTAACAAAATCTTGTTTCATATATTATAAAAGACTCCTTTTCTTNATATATATATATATATATATAATTCCTTAATTATGCCAATTTTTTTTCTTTAAAATATTAGTAATATTACCATATTTAAATGACGCTTTTCTCTATATTAGTAATATATATTAATACATATATTATACTTTATGTACGTTACAGCGAAAGCTTGAAGCGTAGCTAATCTGTGAAATGTTTATACAATTCTGGATTCAACCAACTTAATTAGTTAACTCGAAAAATATAAAGATTCATAATTATTTTGAGCTATGGCCAATAAGTTCTGGCCAATTCCAAAACCTGGTTTTGACTTATCGACCTCAGCTCAAAAAACTAACAACATATTTGCATTTATAGTTCTTCTTTAAAGAATAATAAATTTCACAATAACTACAAATATGAATCGATATTGAGAGAAAGAAATTATTACTCGCTCTCGGTATTATTCTTTATAATGTACATAAATATTTTATATTTATATATAAATTTTATATATATACGTATTTTTATTATATAAATATATTTATATTTTACAAAACAAACTTAAAAACAATGAATAAATAGGCAAATCAGTTCAGTTAATTAATGTTATTTTAACTGTATCTTACTTATCTGTATTTTTATTTATTTGTGCAATCTAAATATAATGATTGAAATGACAGAATACGAGCTGCTTTACACGACATTTTTTCCGTAGAAGCTGGCTGTAACGTATATATTATAAATAACTGAATTAACGTATATAATATAAATAACGAAATAACGTATATAATATAAATAACAGAATTTTTGTAACTAAATATAAGTGTGTTTGTGTATGAAACTAAATTGTTAGACACATATGTATAATGCTATAAAATGTAAAATGTAGATAATGCTAGTTCAAGTTTGGTAACAGCACACTGCTGCGGCCGATAAGGATTCTGTAACATATTAAGGAAGAATATACATAAAAGCACATGTTTCGAAACGAGTTGTATTACATGTACGAAGTGTTTCGTGTTATTAATAGGAGCCTATTTTGGTCAAGGGATCGGTAGCTCTGTGTCCATACTGCGGTTACAAATCGGTTCACTTCTTCAACCAATGTGAACGATGTAGCACAAAATTTACTAAGAAGTTCGAGTCAACTCCCACAAGAAAGAGGATGCTGACAAGTCTACCTGTCGATGTAAGGATTATGACTGAAGTGCTGAGAGACCGATATGTGCATCACACTATTAGCATAAATATTCAACTTGCATTTGCATAACGAATGATTGAATAGCAAATTGTATAATGAATGATAGCGATTTGTCACGCGACTGTGAAGTTTACTTAACATTAACTTAAGATTTCTTGTGGTAAATATTAATATTAGCGGCGATCTCATAGATTTCAATGCCTTGACATGTCAAGGACATAATCCTGAGTAATATTCAAGAGGTTTTTTGCGGTGCTCATTGTTTATTAAAAAGTTATTAGCAAAAGAAGTTTCATTAATAAGATTTTTCGACACTATAGATTAAATTCATATTTATTCATAATCTACTATGGTAGATCACGAGTAAATATAAATTTAATCTATATAGTGTCGGAAAACTACATAGTATTAATACAACTTTTGTTGCTAATAACTTTTTAATAAACAATGAGCGAGATGGCTAATATACCTTCTGAAGGTGACTGAGGAGAGTGACTTCTATTATATATGTCAAGGTCATTGAGATCAGTGAGGTCGCTAATCCTTAATTTATTATATATTTAGTTTTACTATTTATATTACTTAAGATTTTATATTAATACAGCGTCTCTGAATATAGTCATAAAAGAAGGTTGAAGAGCTTTTATTTCAGCATAGAAGAGTTTCGTGAAACTTAGAGCAGAGGACTAATTGTAGAGTGAAAACGTTGCTCTACAATATTGTCATGTAATTTTCAGGTCATGTTGAAAGCAGGATTTGCAACGGTCATCTTAACGCGTGCCATGTGTTTCTATTTTTATTTCTATAAATTCTTCTTACCGATATCTTTTGTGACAATTTGTAATTTCGATTGTATAATATCTTTACAGATATTCTACAAGAAAAATAATGAGCGAAATGCTATGAAAGTGGACAGAATAGAGCGAGACGGTTCCACGTGCAAGCGCCCCAGAGGAAAGGGTAAAGGTGTAGCTTTAAAACCAAAGCCTATTAATAAAGAGCCAGGTACGATAATTGTATTGTTTATTATTTACTGTTGGTACGCGGAGCACAGCTGCAATAATAACGACAATTTATTATCAATGTTTAGAATGTTTGACAATATCATCCGATGAAGAAGAAGAGGGTAAGACTAGAAAGATTGGTATCAATAGCAATGCAGTACTTGGTAATGCATGCAACACCTTCGACGATGATGTGGACACCATCTTAGAAAAAGAACCTATCATTACGAACACTTCCGTTTTTAATCCATCATCACGTTGCGATGATGAAATGAGTAGTGAAGAAAATAGTAAGGACATTTTTCTTATAAAAAGCACATATGTGACTTACGAACAATACACGTAAAGGTAATGCACAGATATAATAACGGTGTAATCGAATTGCAGGATTATGCGATCACAATCATGGAATCTATGGAGATAACAGGCCAATACCGCCCACAGCTCTACAGTGTCGAACTGTCAGAATAGGATCCTATAAATATATTCCACGGGAGAAGATAGTAATTTCTCAGAGCGGCGTAAGATTTGGAGTACCTTTGTTAGAAGACGGTAAGGTCGCTTTCGCATCTATTTTGCGAGAAACGTCTGCTGGAAAAATGATCAAGTTCCTTGATATATTTTCATATTTTCCAGGCCAAAATTTTGTTACTTTGGATGTGAAATATAGTGAGATAGTTAAGGTGCTGATTCATTTCGGGAAGACAATGCCGGTATTATTTTTTTATACGTCTACAAGTATGGGAGCCATGATACGTGAATTGCTGGGAATGCAAGATCCGAAAGGTCCTTATTACGATCCTGCTGGAAGAGGTATTTATGCGATTTATACATATAAATATTGCGGATAATTTTAAAGAGTACTTTCAATGTTACTTATTTATTCTGTTTATCATTTTTGGACGATATAAACGTATCGATTTTTGAACGTTACATTGCATCCCACATAACATAAGTAGATCCTGAGAATATTCCATGAATATATACAGAGTAAATAACTAAAAGTGTTACAGGCTAATATTACTGAAAATGAACGAGATATGAAATTTTTATTTTTCAGCAACTGTTTGGTATCGAAATAAGTACTGTGTAACGAAGTTAATTTTTTTTTAGCAAAGTTTGAAAAGTCATTCCAAGGTCAACTTCATTTTTTTAAATAGAATCATATTGTTTTTTTTTTTTAACACAAATCGATTCTTCTATTCATTCTGTGTGTAAAAGTACAGAAAATAGGGTAAGGTCATTGAAAAGTGAATGCTTTATTCAACAATTTTATTCACAATGCCTGCTTCGATTCCAAATAATTGCTGGAAAATAAGAATTTCGTATCTCATTCAGTTTCATAAATATTAGCCTGTAACACTTACGACGATTCTGTACATATTTTTCGGAACCATGTATTTCATAAGAGTTAGTGGTCTATTAGTATGTAAAAGTCTGTGGTTTCGACCACGCAGAATGTTGCGCTATTCCGCACTCAGTGGATTAAAAGCGTAATAGCTTTTAGCAAACGAAAAAGACAGTAAATATTTAATAATTTCATTACTTTCTATAGATCACACTCATAAGCGTATAACGTTATTACCGGATGAGTTAACGAACGACTCGAAAATCAAGTTGAAAAGTATATTCTTACCTAGAGGAAAGATGGAGGAGTTGAGTCCTAAAGAAGCAAATGATATTCTTCTGCGAGCATCGCCTATGGATGTATGTACTCAATCAGGAATTACATTCCAGCTCATCGTCTAATACAGTGCTTGGAATTACTTGCACTTTCGACAGCTACGTCTACTTTCTTCTTGCCTCTCTTGCTCGCCCAAGCGATTGACAGTCGCAGCTCATAATTTCAGGACCATGAAATTTATAAGGCCTATAAAACCCTAATTATTGAAAAGTTTTTACTAAAACTAAGATTCTACCGTTGTAATTGTAACAATATAATTGTGTTGACAGCATATAAAAATAACATATATAGAAGATTAGTTTCAATAAGGATTTTTCAGAAATTAGGAAGTGTTTCACAGGTCTCATGAAATTGACGGTCCTGAGTCTGAGTGTAACGAGCATGGCTGCGGTCCGAATTACACTAATGGCGCTGCTCACGACACTCACGATCGAAATGAGAGCACGCTAACAACGATTTCATTTCGGACAACCACCGCCCGTAGTTGTTGTAAATATAGTTCTTAATGTTACATAACCTAATAGAACATGTTAAAGACAGAATAAGCTCACCATTCAGTGGGGAGCAGTAAAGTAAAAATTGCGTGAACATTTAGTGAGTATTTGAATAATGAACAAACTAGCATTATTGTGGTTGAGAGAAACTGCATTCTTGGATTCGTAGGATGATGATGAATATATGAATTCCATAATTTACTTATTTTCAAGTAGTAATGAAAATGAAAATTAAATTATAAGGAATTTGCACATAGTTTAATTTTTGAATACAAACAGGAAAAAATTAAACAGAAAATGTCGATTTGAAAAATTTTGTTTCTAACGAGATTTATGTTGGTACTCTTTTTCCCGTGCAATTAACGTATCGACAATCCATCTCCAGATCATAGTCACTATAAGCGCGTGACGTAATGAATTCATGACGTGTGAATTCATGACATCATTTCACCTACGGAAAGCGCTCAGGGAGTCAGATCGAAGTTACACCGACGTAAGCGCACAGATAGCGCTGTGAGCATGACTTGGGTCGCAACCTGTCAATCGTATGGCTCAATGGGCGGGCATGAGAGGCAAAGGAGAAAAATAAGCGTAACTCTCGAAAAAGAAAGTTCAAATAATTTCGAACACTGCTCTATCGTAACGCATACGCAACGCTTTTATTTACAGAACCAACAGGTCACTAGTATTGTACGACGACAGAGCCAAGGCTCACTGTTGAATATTACCAATGACAATGGTAGCATACAAACGTAAGTGACACTTTTTCTTGAACAATCGATTTTTCCCTACCTGGCATCTACATGCCTCTTATTGTTTCACATTATTCGAGTTTTTCCGTGCTTGAAATTCTCCCTCACGCCAAAACTGTTTTCGCAGGATAACTGTGTATCCACCCCCACCTGCAAAAGGTGGTATAGCCATCAACACGGAAGATTACTTGTGCCTCGCGGAGGATCAGTTTTTAAATGATGTGATTATAGACTTTTACTTAAAATATTTGACTTTAGAGGTATTGTCGGAATCTGATCAGCATAGGACTCATGTGTTCAGTTCGTACTTTTATAAACGTTTAACCAGCCCACACGCCCAAGCTGCCGAAAATCCTGCGCAGATGACACCCGCCGCAAAGCGACACGCAAGAGTACAGAAATGGACTAAGAATGTTAATATATTTGAGAAGGATTTCATTATAATTCCTATCAACGAGCAGTAAGTAACTCGGAATTTGTTCAGTAACGTATGTCACTGAGATGCCGTATTAATAATACAATGTTGTATTCAGTGCACATTGGTTCTTGGCTATTATCTGCTTTCCCGGACTAGTCGGAAAAGTCGCCCCGAATAGCGAGAACGACACTCGCAAAACTAATACGCAAAAGACTAAAAAGATGAAAGAAGTGAAAACGAAAGCTGTTACGATCGGCTGTACAACAATAACCCCCGTACCTGCGACTATCACGATAGACCAACCGGACGACGGTTCGGAAAGAGATGAAGCTGAGGGCGACGACGATGAAATGGAGATAGACAGCGACGAAGAGGTAGAATATAACATAAATTTCATTTCTTTCTTTCTTTCTTTCTTTCTCAAAATAAGTTGTAACACGACCATGTATTTTATTCATAGGACGAGACTGAACAACCCGAGCAAAACATACAAATTAAAATAAAGCCCGGTATTGTGAAGCTAGAGGAGACAGTTAAAGTGTGAGTTGCGTACATCGTGTAATAGAAATACAATTAATTGCACGTATATTTGTATTGCACAATATTTGAGCACTTTCATTTAATTCAATTTGATCTAACTTAATTTAATTTGATTTCTAGTCCCTGTATATTGATATTCGATTCACTAGCTGGTGCCAGTAGAGCACGAGTGGTTGCCACACTAAGGGATTATTTAAGTTGCGAACACTTGGCCAAACTTGGAGTAGAACAGATCTTTTCGAAAGATACTATTAAGGGCGCCTGCCCAAAAGTACCCCAACAATCGAATTTCACTGATTGCGGTTTGTACGTACTACAATACGTGGAAAGTTTCTTCCAGGTTAGTAGAATATTAAGACAGATCGAAGAATATAAGTTATCGTAAATTATTTTTCCTAAAATTCTGAACATGACAATAATAACTTCTTTCGATCATATGTTCTTTTAGAATCCGATTCAAAATTATACCTTGCCAATTAAGGCGTTGAAAATGTGGTTCGAGGAAATAGTCGTGACGAGGAAGAGGGAAGAACTGTCGGATCTACTTATTAAGTTGGTGAATGCCACCAAAGGAGACAGAACCATTAATCTGCCCAGTGTGAATTTTCCCACGCAAGACGGCAAACTGAAGCCGAAGAGTGAAAATCAGATAGACGTGAAGGTTGCGAAATCGGAGCTTGAGAATAAGAGAAAGCCTACGACTGATGCTGACTCACGTATTAGCATGTCGGTAGTGGCAGAGAGTACTGAATCGAGTAATGAAGTAGTTAATAGAACTTTCCAGATCATTCCTTATTCTCAGTGTATAAGTTCTAATTCGACTGACAGTAATCCAACAGAACTCTTGACCGAGCCGAAGACTACGAGGTATATACAACGTAATCTTTTATAGTTTTGCAATCGACGATAATTATTGCCCACGATATCACAAATTGCAACCACACACGAATGTTCCTAAACTGATTCCACTTCCTCATCGCCTTTGTCTGTACCTCTGTGGATACTTCGACCCTCTCCAGAGCGAAATACTCCCGAAATACATTCCCATATCGACCAGAACGCGCAGTAGACTAAGAATTAAATATATTTTCATCCATATTTTTTTGTATTATATTTTTGCAATGTATTTTTCTCGCTTGTGTGTATTTTTATCACGGCTCACATATCGAGTATTCTATCAATTTTCAGATCATCGAGTGAAACGATGTCCTACCTTAAATCTAAACGAATTCCCAGGCTAATGTTGAGAACGCAGACTCCGGACGATTCTCAAGCTGCTAAGAAGCACAAAGGAGAACCTTTTAATTCCTGTAAATAAATGTTATTTTCCTTTTTTACAGTGATAAGATTAATGTTAATCCGCATAGACCATGAAAATTCATTTACCATGTAATAGGAAATGTAGTTAATACTTCATAAAGTGAATAAAACTACAGACTACTTGATTCCTGATTGTATAATTGATGTTTTTTTTATTGATCTTTGTATATGGATTTTGTAACGAGTTGGTATTATATTGTCAAGCCTGTGAAGTGTGTTTCCTGTGCGGCTGATGCATCGAGATATATCGAGTATTCAAGGAAGCGTTAGCGGACGCGTTTATGCGGCGTCCGAACGTCTCCGGTGCATTGCGCAGGAAGCACGCGGTTCTACGCGACAATCCGATCGATTGTATCACTGAAATGAATTGTATTTACGGAAATGCATCTTCAATTGAACTGAATCCGTTTGGTAGTACGTATTCTGCACGTGATCTTATTTTCATCGCGAGAGTTCTTCGGCCGTGCGCTTTGAATTCCGATTCACTCTGACCAATGGGCACGCATTGTTGCCGTCGATTCTACCGTCCGCAGCGATTTCGGCGAATGGCTATTTAAAGCCGCGCGACATACCCGTGTAGATATATTCAGTGCTCGGCAGTTTTAAATAACCGCTAAGCGAAGACCTGCTCTCTAATGTCAAAACGAGGCGAGGTATTTACGAAAATCGAGACATCGGCGAGACCTCCCGTCGGCAGAGAAAGAATGACATCATCAGCGTGATACGGTGGTTCTATCTCTCTTTCTCTCTCCCCCTTCGTGTGAGTACTTACTATTGTATTCCGGCGTTACATCGAGAGATACCGTACATTCTGTAGAATCAGTAAATATTAATTACATAACGCGCGTTCATCTCGCTGTATCATCGAATATCACACGAATCAAGACGCGGAAATGACGAATAACCGATATTAATAACAACATATTTGTTAATCTGTCCCGATTGCATAATGAAACGATACAAAAACCTGGTGAACACTAACGATAAGAGATTATATCGATGTCATGATTTCCTTATCAACAGTAAGTGTAATGTAACACATACACGTAACGCACATCGTTAGGCGAGCAATTATGATATCAGTGTATTGTCATTGTTGTTCTTTGGTATTCACCGGGAAGAAGTTTGATTATTTAATTTATTTATGTAACGTCATTATACTTTAATTATATAACATTTTATACCGAACACGCCGGTCATAGGTCCCCTAAATCACGCACGCCCGTCACTTTCGCGCGTTTTCGCTGCGCTCGCGCTTGTCCCACTCGTTTAAACGTATATGACTTAATAGGATAATGCCTGCAACATTAGTCGCCCTGGCAGTGTCTACGCTGTACATTGTATTCACGGTATGGCTAGCGCACTGGCTGAGGCTGTACGCGACATATTTCATCGAACAGCCCCTCGTGAGGTCTTTGTTCTTAGAGGCGATCGCTACAGCGGAACTCTGCGGGGCATGCTTCGAACTCATTATAAGTAAGTCGACTTGCCGTTGATCAGTGCGCGCTCGAGGCATCGCACGACTAACTTAAAATAGTCGGTGAACCTGTACACGCTACATCACGTATTTCTTACCGTTATAACTGCACTTGCGTATGCAATTTTTGACTCTGTGCGTACACGGTGTAAGGCGGGAAATCGTGTAACTCGCTCTAGGGAATGGTAAAGCATATTGACACAGTATGTACACATACACGCACTCGTATACATCCGTGGACAATGATTCGTCCTTCCCTATAACTAATGAAGCGAGTCTAGGACAGATATTTATAGTCAGATGTTATATTTAAAACCGTTTAAAGTTCATCTTCAGTTGCTTTGTAACGAGTGGTCACTTCATTCTTAAATTCGTTTTCAGATGCTGTACGGCTCGAGCCGTTCAACCTTTTTTTCATGTTGCCTTTTTTTTCTTATCACACTAACGATGACGGAAGGTGTATCGTTCGATTATTTAAAATATTTCCTTCTTGAACGAAACGAAAAGTTAAGCTTTTCTTATTTCTCCAGTTGCGGACAATTGGGGCGTGTCAATGTACGGAATTTATCTATTTGTGCTGACGGTTTACTGGTCGATGACCTGGGGCGACGCGTCGGCGTGCCCCTACACGCATCTGGAGGACGTGGTCCTGGGTAACAAGTCCTTGCGCATTGCTTTCCTCTTGATATGGGCGGAATTTCTCGGCGGTATCGCCGTGTTTAAGTACATACAGACGCTGTGGGCGCTCGAAGTCGTCTCCACGCACAAGAACCGGGCGTTCGGTGCTTGTACCACGGATTTACAGGCAAGACCGGGCTTACTTTTCGGATATATGCTACCAGATGCGGCAACTATCCAATTCATTTCATACGGAACGTTCTCCATCGTTGTTAAACTTGGTTATTTAGTTATTAATTTTGCTAAATTTAGAAAAAATATTGCGCGAAAATGTTATTCTCTTCAGCAAAATTATCCCCCGCATATCGGAAATTATCATATATAATTGTTAATTCGATTAACGCAATGATTTCTAGGTACCTGTTGTAATCGGAGCTCTTGTAGAGGGCACCGCGACGTGCATATGTAGGGTGGTGTCGCGCGTACTGGGTGACCTAAATCCACGATTCAGCACGGCCATCGACTCTTTCGTGGGGACGTCTCTGGTGGTTGCAGGTCGGCGAAACGTTTCGATATTTTTAGCGACATGAAAGATACCGCTTCTTATGTATCGTTGATCACTTCATGACATACCGTGTATTGCAGCTTTCGATTATTCCGGCGGTTACTTCAATCCCGCATTGGCGACTTCGTTGAAATACGGTTGCCTGGGCACCACTTTCGTAGAGCACGTGATAGTGTATTGGATCGCAACGTGTGTCGGATCTATCGTCTCTTTGCGCGTGTACAAAATGCCGTTCGTGCAAAATTTTGTTGAGCAACGCAAGGAGAAGGTCGCCTAAGGCTTACGACGACGGAAAGGTTTACCTGGCCTTTATGTGCAATCTTTGTTGAATGATTTTAATGTATGTTAATTCTTTGTTCAATTATTTGTCATATCGTTCTAAATTGGTGGATATAACGCGTCGTTATCGTCGCAAGTTAATATTTTTTTTTTTTTAACAACAACGGCAACGTAATTACTCCTCCACAGGTAATGACGATTACCGTTATTTTTTGTAGATGTGTAGATACTTTTTGGCACTGAGATTTTTATATACACGGAGGCGATAACAATTGCCAAATGTTACAATAGAACCGAGGCGAGAGTTCGTAAACGAGTGGTCGCTGAAAATTGGTAAAAAAGTAACAGAAACTGTTAACGACTCGTTACTTTTTAAATGAGAGTAAAGATGAGGAATTCTTTTTTAGAGGTGAGAATATTTAGAGGTGAGCAGCTTTTTTCAATAATTACGAGCAAAAAGGGATAACGAGTTACTTTAGGAATATAAAATTTCCCAATCTTGATATTGTCCTCGTCATAACTTGCGCAAATCTACAACAACGCGTAAAACGTGCCGAAAGATATTGTGTAATTCCACTTACGATTGTATATCGCGAATAATCACAGTCACGCGTGATATTTAAATAAATTCATTCAGTAACAATAAAACATGTCTTGTCAGTAACAATAAAACATGTCTCATCCTCATTTTTTTTATAAAATAATTCGGTGTGAAGAAAGCGTATAATTTTTTTCAAGAATATAAATCCTCAAAAGATGCAGCGCCAACTCGGAAGTTATATCGAATGACATTTAATATTTGAAATTTACGTGATATAGAGAAAAGTTGGATGAATACATAATGATATACTAACAATTAGACAAGAGAAGTACGATTGTTACAATCAGAGCGTTTCGACCCTCACGTAGATCTTTTTCCACGAAAACATCTGTTTATAAACATAAATTTGAATGCTAAGAACATTCGAACGTGCTAAGGTTATTCAGCCTGAAGGTAGACATACACTGAGTGAACAAATAACGAATAAACAGTGAATGTATAATATGAATGTGTATATTTGCGATTAAGCACGTAAGTATTTTCTTTGATAAATCATCTTATGAGTAAGCCGGCCCGAAATGTTCTATTCGAATTCGTTATGGCTTATACGTTTTTAATCTTTTACAACGAAAGTTTGCATTTACTGTACATTCCTTGTTCGTTCCTTCAGTTCACTCAGTGTATACCCAGCTTAAGAAATCTTCTATATTCAAAAAACCCCAAACAAAATATTACGTTGTCCTACCGTAAGATTAATATAAAAGAAATATATCCGTGATATGATTTTCTAAATACATAGTTCTCTACGACAATCTTTATCAACAGTGTTCCTGGTTTTATATATTCCTCGCGTAATTTTATGTAGGTAAGTAAATAATGCCACTTCAGATTTCTTTCAGATCCTTCCACTAGATGTTGACATATTTCAGATTTAAACAATTGGTACGTAAAGTCTTACATTACATCAAAGAAAACACAAAATCCTTTTATATAAAACGTCTTTAAGACGTCTCAACGAAAGGAAAAGTATAACAGCCAACACGGCTCTGTCCATACATCGTAAGTTTCATGTTTTCATGTATACAATTAACAATTTAATTATTTTATCGTTTTTGCGATAAGCTATATATTGTTCAATGATGTCAATATTATATATTCGTTTAAGTGGCACATATCTCAATATGGATGCGATTGGAATGGTTGCGTACTCTCTCAAGATATATTTTTCATTGGAATTATTAATAACTCCACTTGAAGTAATTGTCAGTTATACATGCAGTAATAAGATTGTAAAATTCATGCTTTATGAAGTAATAACTACGATGCAACAATGCATACTGAATTACCAAATCACTGCAGGTATACATTTAAATCGTGCATCTTCCTTATCATTATATTTCTCTGTAAACGTGCGTGCAGCGTTGTACATTTGTTTCTTCAGCTACAATGAATGAACCAATAATGTTTGCAACCAGTACCTTTATAGTAATGTTAATATGGTTAACACGCTGGCGCACTATAGAAGGTTCTCCTAACGTAATATTTGAGTATATGCTAATATATACAAGAATGCGCAAATATGGTATATTTATAATATTAGCTAAAATGCTGGGCGGTTACATCGCATTCAAAGTTACGCGTGTAATATGGGACTATTTAGAAACAGGATACACGTCAGTAGGTTGCTCTGCAATATTTGATGAGGTAAGAGACCAATGTATGTGATCATTTATAACAGAATATAATTTATTTTTTGTAGTGTATAAAAACAAATTATTAAATATTATTAAAACAATGTTCAGTTGATAATTGTTTGCTCACTGGATATATACTAATTCTGAATTACTCTCTCTCTCTCTCTCTCTCTTTCTCTCTCTCTCTCTCTCGGAATTTAACTTATAAAACCTGGACAGATTTGGTATATTTTATTTAAAATTTTTTATAAAACCAAAATACAAGATGTTCTGAAAAATTTTTAGAAATCTTTTCACCAGGATTATTATTAAAAAATATATTTTTTTTTAAATAATGCGTATGTTATATATATATATATATATATATATATATATATATAGATATAATATATGCATATAAATTTTAATATTAATTGTAATATAAACTTACGTAATTCAATATGTCATATTGTATATAGAGTGAGCTGTGACTTTATACATATACATATACATATACATACATACATACATATATATATATATATATATATATATATA